CTTGAGAGGCAATGCTTGTGGATATGAAGCACCTATGAAACACGTCAGTGGATACGTGCTGCAGAGATGCGAGATGGCTTGTTACAGCTAACACCAGTCATGCTTCTTCTCAGCTCGCAGCGCTCAAGTGCTTATCTGACAAATCGTCCGAACACCCTCTGAAAAGAAATCATCCTCTACAAGCGTATCGAACGCCTGCTCAGGCTCTGCCGGAACCTCGTCTGCAAACGCAACGCGTTCAGCCTGCTGCCGGCGCCTGTCACTCTGGAAAAACGCATCGAACGCGCACTTCCATTCCGTCCTGTGCGCTGCTGGATACCCAGACTTGGCAATGCTGTCTGCAAGGGTCGCCAACGTACTGACCCAGCGACAAGAAATTTCACTGAGAGTGATCTCCTCTTGGATGGCACGAGCCTCTTAGCTGCTGCGTGCACTGCGAAGTCATAGTTGCGAAGACTCCGAACGACTGATGGCATCGAAGATCCCCTTCGAATATGTAGCGAGCATGCCGGGCACACGACGCACTGCTGCATCGATGTGCCACGTCGGAATCGCCGCTCCATGGACCCATGGATATCCACCCACATGGGCCGGGCGAGGCACAAACTGTCATTTTCAAAAGCGATGGTTTGGGTCTCCACATCGTTTGACCCTGAAAAATCTCATGGGCAACTCAAACGATCTCCCGGCTGAAAGAGAGACTGGTGCCATCTCTGCGTCGCCAAAAGATGGAGCCGCAAGACCCTCGACTGGACCCCCTGTCTTGGAGCCGCCAGGTCGCAATTTATCACTCGCGTCTGCCCATTGGGCCATCCAAAAAGCTGACCCCACGCAAAATCAAATGCATGGAAGCGGATGGACTGACTGACTTTCCTCCGCATGCCGCATGTCTCTCACAAGCTTGTTCACTTCCTGCAAGTCATAGATTATGGCACTGGCAACCGTTGAAAGCGAAAGGCCCACATCATCTGCATCCTGAGGAGAAACCTGCTGGGCCCTCCAACTCGCGGTACCTAAAACGCCTCTCATCTGAGAAGCCGCCCCCGGACTCAACTGCTCCTGTGGCGCCCGCTTGCGGTCTGGATCGGTCTCGGCCTCCGTGATGAGCTTGTTCGTGTGGTCGTGCAAACCCAGCGCGATGGCGCAGTCGCTGTACTGTCGGACTCGAACCCCGCTGAAACCGGCATGTCCGGATGACCATGCACCCCAACGATACAACTGCATAACTTCAAATCGGGATTTGTGAAACAACCCGCTGCGATCACCTGCAATCGTGAGACCGTCCACATATATGCCGATGTTGCCTGGTAGGACCCCGTCGGTGCACATCGAAACCCATGGGCACTGGTCGGTGCAAAGCTGACGCCATCCCAGCTTGCTCAGCTTGGCCAGCACACCATCCCACCATGCCCTGGGGGGCCGCAGTGAGACCGTAGCATGACTTGACCAATCGTAGGATAGCGGATGGTCTGCCCAGCTCGACCTTGAAACAATTCGCCAACTTCACAAGGGATTTCACACACAGGCGCTTGAAATCTGACTCGTCGTCTGGCTGCAGAAACGCAAAAGAAACGTCACCAGTTCAAGCTTGGAACGATGAAGAGCGCGCGCCTGGGAAAATTCCGAGCTAGCTTGCCCAGCGTAGGCGCCGAGGTAGCCAACTCCGTGCGCTGAGGATGCTGGTGCCCCAAGATGACTAGGCAAGCATTCGCATTTCTGGAGCCACCTTCCTGGCGCCTCCACGCGAGAACCCATTGCATCTGTGTGATCTGCTTCTCGTCGTTACCGTCCAACTCGTCGGACTGAACCCTTCCTAGGACCTTTGAGATCATCGCCTGGTTGAGCCCCTCCACCATCGCATCGTCAAACTGCGCCGTCTGCCCCGGGCCCATCTCGTTGAAGCCCACCTCCGTGGACTTGCCGCCGCCAAGCCTCCCTGAAAGCGTCGGATCCCAAAGGAAATCGTTCGGCTGCTCGAAGCCCGCGCTGACCTCCACGCGCTGGCGGTGCCCCTCGCTCCCTGAGGAGGGCGCGATCGTCTCATTATTCTCCTGAGCGCGCCGCTACAAATACCTGCTGATCTCGGACCTCTCGTTGCCCGCCTGGCAGGCGTAGCCGAACTCGTCGAAGTGCGATCGCTTCTGAGGAGGCTCGCAATCTGCAGGCTCATTTTCTTCCCTGGAATCCTTTGGAGAGACTCCATGTACAGGTTCCGACTCGATCAGCGTCTCCTGGGCGTCTGGCCTGGGAGACTCGTCGCTATGATCCACGGCCTGCTTGTCGTCGGATGGATCGCACTCTTGCCAGTCGCTGTTATCGCCGCCAATCTTCGTCGTTACGTCTGCTTGATCTGTCCGAGCTTCTTCTTCAGTCACCTCGCGCGGATGCTGCTTCCGTCGCGGCCTCGCCCTCCGAATCGCACCCCGCTCAGGTCTGCCCGACCTGGCTGGTACAAGTATCGCCTCGAAAGACTCTGATTCTCTGTCTAGAACCTCCTGTGGCTGCGCTGTTAGGTCCGTTGGTTGCCGCATTGACTAATCGGTCGGTAGGTCGTCTGACTGGTTGGTAAGTAGCTCGCCTGATTCGTCGATCGGCGGTTGATCTCGCGCGTCGATCGGCGGCTGATCTGGCGGGTCGACCGGCGGCTCAAGGCGACCAGGTAGGTCCCCGAGCGACTCGGCCAAGTCTCTCTCCGATGGCAGGTCCCCTGCCCAGTCGATGCGCCCCCCCTGGCCCGACTTCTTGAGCATCTCACCCATCTGTGGGGGTATTCCTGTCGAGGCGCCCCCCTTTGGAAACCACCACCTCGCGCTGGCTACGTTGTCGGAGTTGCGAAGGATGGCATCGAACGAATCGCATGCCGTGGGCGACCCGCACCATCGAGATGGCCCCCATCTCTTCCGACTCGTCAGCAATCCTTAGGGAGCAGAACATCTACCCCGATCGCAACCACCTCGACACGCGAAACCGTTTAGCAAACGCGCCCGAGGAAGGAATCGAGCAGGGCTGGGCTGTTTACTAAACGCCCAGGGCCGTTGAGTAATCGCCGATTATCGGGTCCGGGTGGTTTTCCCCCCTTGAATCTCAGCGCCAAAATTCACCTTGGGCTCGAGCGCCACGACCTTGGCTGGGCCGAACGAACCAAGCACCTCGAACTCTTCGGTCTTTACCTCGTCGAAAGAACGCGACCCAGTCGCCCGGCTTGCACCCGGGAAACTTCCGACGGAGATAGTGCTTGAGCCTCGTCTCGGCGCTCCTGCGCCGCTCCTCCAGGCTGGTATTCTTCGCCAGTTCCCTCAGCAACTCCGCGCGAGCAAGTCCGTCGCCGTTGAGCATGCCAGCCTCCTCGGCGCACTGGTTGCCCTCGTGGGCCGCTCCGAAGGCCCGCTGAACAGGAGTGCATTCTGGCACCTTGCGTAGATTGCCATGAGCTGAACGCGCCACGGCCAAAGAGTCTGCCAAAGTAAGAGACGTCTCGTCCAAGGCAATCCGCCGTCAGCCCGCGAGACCCCCCGGCGCTCTGAACCAAACCATCGCCGTGGGTGCCGCGCCAATTGCGCGGCGCCTGGCTGGCAAAACCTCCGCCTGGATCAGTGAATCAAGCACTGGCACCGCGGTTCGCGCTGCCACCCCTCCTCAAGGAAGTGGCTCAGCACATCCGGACCCCTCGGCTCAATGCACTGACGTCGCCCGCGCAGCTCAGCAACCGCGAGCGCTCCTAGGGCGGCCAGCTTTCAAGCCGCATCGGGATGCAGCGCTGCATAAAAACAAAACAACCTTGCGACAGTGCACCTCGAGCTCGAAACAATCTATCTTCGCTACCTGCCGCAGTCGGGGGGGCAAGCTGAGTGACGCTCGAGCCGGGCGTTGAACATCCCAGGCCTCCAGGCGCGCGTCGCACTCGAGCTCGCCCGCCATCTCCAAGCCCAGGCCGGACAGTCCCGCCTCTGGGCTCTGGAGCGTTACCATGCGGTTCGTCTTCGACACGTGGCCGCCCACGATGCGCAGCTCCATGGTCCACTTGCGCACGCCCTCGAGCTCTTCCTCGTCGTCGGGCTTGCTCTCGTAGTGCTTCGCGTCGGACTCTAGGGCTAAGACTTGAGCTCTGCCCCCAGCGACCCGCCCAAACTGCGCGTCGGCCCAGAACGCGCCCACCAGGTCGCTCCTGCGAAGGTCCTGCGCGAGACCCTTCGCGACGCGCCCGACCATCGCATCGGGGTAGCAAGCCGAAGCCGCCGCCGCCGCAGAGCTCTCGAGGACGCTGCGAGCGTGATCACGCGCGCAGCGCAGAGACATGCAATTGGCACAACGATCACCCGACGCAAGAACACCCCCGGCCTTGCCGCGCAAAACGCCGCGGCCGTCACGGAGTCCCACCTGACATCCGTCGATCCGTGCCATGAGAGGTCGCCCGATAATTTCTACGACAAAGCTCGGGAGTGCCCCATCCAGTGCGATTGAGAGGCCACTCCCAGTAGATGTCTCTGTCGTTGCGCGGCGTCTCCAAAACAAGATCCACTGCGCGCCCAGCTTCCGAGCTCATAGTCGTCCGCGTAGGTTGTTCAGCCATCTGACTGGACCCCTCCCCCGCTCTGGCGCGAGAGCCTGCGTGGCCGAAACATACTTGCACGTTGTTGAAACCTGCAGATTACGCGGCGGCTCGGCTTCTCCTGCGCCCATGCCATTGCCTTCTTGGTCGACTCCGTCGCGTTGACATCGCGCCCCGGCTCGAAATTCACCCGAAGCCCCCGACCGTCATCCCTGCGGCCAGTCAGCGAAATCGGCCCTGGACTGGGTCGATAAAGCCAGAACGGAGACGACGAGGCCAGCGATCGCGTGCCCCATCGTGAGGGTGCCCGCGCGCAGGATATTCTGCCGTTTGTTCGTGCGGATCTTCAGGCTTCCTCCTCGTCCACCTCGATCAGAGCCTGATCCCGCGTGTCCAAGTCCACTGCTACCACCTGGCCGTCGACGCTCTGCTGGATCTTCACCTGCTGGACCTTTGTCGTAGAGCTGCAGGGAATTGCTCCTGAGGCTCACCTCGCGATCGTTCAACCAATCGACCCCCGTCAAGACTGGCACGTCGTCGGCGCCCAAGACGCACGCGCCAAGCCAACCCGCGGGCGAATGAAGCCACGCCTCGGACAAAGCATGGCCCCACTCTCCATTCGCAAACTTGAACCACGGCTTGTCGTCTCCGTCAATGTGGCACTCAGCCTTCGGATGCTCGTTCATCGCCGTCTCGACGGACGAGGTCACGCCGTCTCCGCCGCCCGCCGTAGTAGTCGCCCCGCAGTCCAGCGCCAGCTCGGATGACACGGGGTTGGACATGGACCAGTTCACGCGAAGGTCGAGGATACCCCCCAGTTCATGCAGTACGATGGCTGGCCCTTGCTGTTGCCGAAACTGCTCTTGCCTTGCAAGCCGCCCTTGGATCCGAAGCCACTGCCCTTGGAAGCGACGCGCTTGCCTGTGACCGAGTGGCGTTCAGGACACTCGCGCCATTAGTGATCAAGTCGGCCACAGATCAAACATCCCTTGCCATTGATGCTCGAGCTGCTTCCCTTGGGCTATCGGCAACTGCCGCGCGCGCCTCGGTCAAGGCGCGACTGGCTTCCGCTGCGAGGGCCTCCGCGGCAGCCGCTTGCTACTCCGGGGCCTTGTCCTCCTGCGTGGGTTCGCTCTGCTGGTGCTGTGGGTCCTGGCCAATGTACTGCACCCGCTGCTGCTGATCCCAATCCTGAGATGGCCACGAATCATGTTCGTAATCGTTCCAGTCGGTGGCCCAGGACTCCGCACCCACATAGCCAGCAGGGTAGAATCCACACCGCCAGATACTGGAAGCGTCGTCGTACTGCCAGTCTTCCTTCCAATAATCAGCTTCGCCCTTGAGAGCTGAACACCACTCCTTAAGATTTCCCTGCTCGAACGCAAATGCACGACCTCTGACGCCCTCATGATGTGGTCGATCTGGATCACGTATGTCTTCATCGCCCCTGGCGGCCCGAAGCTGCGCCACAACAGCCTGGTAGGTAGTGTCGTTCGGGGCGCCTACCAGGATCATCTGTCTCTCCTCGCGCCCAAGCCGAGCATTGTGTATAAGGCGATAACCCCTAAGCTCGGAATCGAAGAAACTCAAATCCCGGTCGTCGACACTTTCCTGATAAGATTTGACCTCATCCTACTCGTGTGTTTCCCACTGTTCTGCTACTTCGTCGACCCGCTTTTCACCGGTAACAGTTTCTGCCGTCGCTCTCGTCGCCCTGGTCTCGTCATCTTCAGCAACTCTAGGTCGGCGTGTCGCACCAGCCTTTTGACCCGAGCGACGCTGCCGGTCCTCTCGTACTCTCCGCAACGTTTGTCGCATCTCCCTGAACAGGCGACCCTCTCTGATGATATATTTCCCGATCACCTCGCCAGGCTTCCGAGCCAGCTCATCATATCCGTTGATCGTTCGATAAACATCGGGAATCGGCATCTTGGCCAAGGGTCCTCCCCGAAGGTGTCGGAGCAAATTGTCAAGGCCATCGCCGTTCAGAACCGTCGCTGGTCGTGGATCCTTCACCGCTTCATTGGTAGCTCTCTTCAGTGCCGACCTCAAACGACCTGCGGCCAGGTCCTTGTCGTTGGACTTGACTCCAGCTCTATACCAAAAAGCGGCGTTGACGCAACTCTCAAACTATGGAAGATCTCCGTTCCATATTGAAGCTCCATTCTCGGTCTTACACCTTGATGTAGAACGTGTAGTCGTTCCTGCCGTGGATCTCCACCATAGCTCCGCTACCATGTTAGCGAAGCCTGCAGATTCTCCCAGTTCTGGCGGAACGCGACAACGTCTACACAAATCTCTTCACTGAAAAAGAATTCGAAACTCAATCCAACAAACAATCCTTTTGTCAAACGGCGTCAGCTGCCGTTGTCTCGTGGCGGCTCCTCGTGCAACAGAGTCGACATTATCATGGAATCCCTCTCTGAAAGGTTTGAGGGGAAATGGTTATGGATATGGAACAAATCTGAGACACGTCAGAGGAGACATGATGGGAGGGCTGCGAGATGACTGGTTATAGCCAACACTGGAGTGCCCCCCAAACCCCCAGGGCTCAGAATCCAGGACGGCACTGAACTCTACCGGGATGCGGGGGCGGACTCGCGACAGAGGGCGAAGAGGAAAATGTGGAATCACCGTGGAAGTGTCACAGACACTGGTACCCTGGACCGACTGAGCAACACAGGAATGGCGATGCACGTCCATCTCCTCCCTCAAGCAGGAATCTCGAACTAACGCAACAGCAACAACAACAGGAGGAGGTGGGTGGGGGAGCACAGGGAGGGATGGGATGGACAATAAGAGAGAAGAAGATGGACCAATTGACTCCACCGGCCTCCATCTCCCCACAGATCCAGTGGCGTTTTGGGGCCAGCTTGTGTGCCGAATGCAAACGCAAACTGGTGCTCCGTGCCCCCTGGGGTCCGACCTTGCGACTATGAGCACAACATCGCGAAAAATCACGGCTGGAACTCCAGACCTCATCGTTCTGCGGCGTTTCTCGAGCCGGATCGGTCTGGGGTGGCCCCAGGGCCAGAAACTTGGCGACAGCGCCAGCGGATCAACAAAGCAAATGCCTGGACCTCAGGGTAGCAGCCCCGCGGGGCCCAGACATCTGGCGCTCCGGCTTCCCAATGCGTGGACCCCCGGAGGCCTGGACCACTTCCCGCGGTCCGCTTCTTTGTCTTAAGTCGGGCCTGTCCCTCGACAGGAGGAGTATTCAAAAATAGTTTAGAAAATGATACGGGACGGCTTTTTGGTCATTTCTGAACATTCTGGAGCACTCTTGACATGTTTGCATTTGTCGTTTCAAATCCGCCCGTCGGGGGATGTGCCCGACCAAATTTTAGCCCCGAGTCCTTCTCAACGGCCCTGGGGCCCGGGAATCCGAAAACGGACAGACACCCGCCGCTGCAGCCTTGGATCCCGGGGGCCCGTGCGGCAGGCCTGCGCCCGGGCCTCCCGGCCGGCCCAGGCCTGCGCAGCGGGCTCGGCCCGCGACCGGGGTGCTGGCACGCCAGATGCGGCAGGCCGTCGCCGCCAGTCTGCTCCATCACGCCCGCCCGCGCGCGCGGCGCGGCCTGCTCGGCCCACTGCTTCGGGAGCAGGGGCCGCACTGGTCGGGGGACTGCCCCGATCTCCGGCGATGCGATGTCTCCAAGAGGCAGTTTGTCCTCGATCTCGGCCCTCGCGGGCCGCTTTCGGGTCCCTCGGCTTTCAGGGATGGGCCCAGGGCGAAACACTACCCCCGGGGAAGCGGTCGGGACCTCTGGGGCTGCGGATTCGTAATCCCACTAGCCCTGTGGGCTCTGGGCGCAGGTGGTCTAACGAGATTCCTTTTCCCTCTTCAAAAAAAAAAACCCTCTTCCCCTACGGGGAAGGGTTCTACCCCTCTCCCCACCCGTCCTCTGGATTTTTGTTTGGGGGTTCGGGACGTGTCAGGGCGTCCAAAACAGCCTCGGCGAGGAAACCAAAATCACTGGTTTCACTAAGGTTTTGGCCCCATGTCGGCCTCTTTGGAGGGGAACTTGAACGTTGGCCCACCAGCCTGCTGGGCGCCAGAATCTGGTTTTACTAAGATTTTGGCTCCATTTTGGCCGCTTTGGGGGGGGGGGGGGGGCGGCTGAACGTTATCCCACCAGCCCTCTGGGCGCCAAAGACATTGGTTTTACAAACGTTTTGGCCCCATGTTGGCCACTTTGGGGGGGGGGTGAACGTTATACCATTTCCTCATTTGGTCGATGGCCTTTCAAGATGGCCCCCAAAAGGCCTTCCAGGGCTCTCAGTAAGGCCCCAAGAGAACCCAAACAGGGCCCCAAGACCCCTTAAGAGAGCCCCAAGAGAGCCCCGAGACCCTCCCAAAGAGCCCCGGGAGAGCTCCAAGAGGCGACTTTGAGGGCTCCTGGTCGGGGGCCGAAATCGAGGGCCCCCCATCATTTGATCGATGTTGTCCTAGAGGGAGGGCCCCAACAGGCCTCCCAGGGCACCAGCCGCAACACCAACAGAGGCATCAACAACATCAGCAGCACCACCAGCAGCAGCAACACCACGGATCACATTCTTTGGATCCCTCCACCTCCTCCTCTTCCTCCTCTTCCCCATCGCCCCCACGCGGCCCCCAGGGATGGCCCGAAGAGGCCTTCCACGGCCACGCCCTTGCTCCCAGAGGTCTCTCGGTTCATCCTGGTTGCTCGCTTTGTTTCCCTAGATGTGTCCCTTCGTCCCTTTTCCCGTCAAGTCTCGTGGGCAAGGCTTCTGAATTGGTTGGTGGGGGTCCTTTTGTTTCGCGAGCGCGCAGGAATTCCAGGCGCCGTCAAGCAACGCGGTTAACGAGCAACGGACTAAATTCCGCACGAGAGCGCACAGGAGCGAGCTACACTGCGGCTCAAGCGGTGGACCTAGCGGAGCCACTGGTCGAGGTGCAGCACCAAAATGGCGAAATTCTTGAAATCCACGTACACGAGGACGAAGAACGGGCGGGCAGGCGCTCAACGGAAGCGTGCCAGCGGCGGACGCGCCACCACGGCGGGGGAGCAGGAAAAGCGACGCCAGGGCACCACAACAGCGGCGAAGGCGACGAGTCGGCGGAAAAGGCAACGTCCAGAACTGAAGGCGGCGGCGCCCAAGCCAAGGGTACAGGTCGACCATTGGGAAGGGGCTGGTGGGGATGCGCGGAGCGTGAAGAATTTATGTGAAATCGACGGAGCCCAGTCAGTAATCGGCAGTGGAACGGGCGGCCTTCTCGCAGCGCTGGAGCACCTCGTGAATAGCCTTGCCCTCGCCCGTGGTGGCAGCAAAGAGGGGCCTAATGACGCAAATGAACAATGATGGAATGGGGAGGGCAGGTATGCAGAACGTGCTGCCGACTGGAAAGCTGCCTGTGAGCCGCCCTATTCGCGCCACTGTGGTGGTGGTGGTGGTGGTGGTGGTGGTGGTGGTGGTGGTGGTGGTAGTGATCAGGGGGCCTACTTGAGCCATACAAGCCATTAGGGAAAAGGCGACCAAATCGCCCCTTCCAGCGGCGCTGACTCCCTCCCATACCACACAACCGCCCGTCAACCACTACAAGCGGCAGCCGGTGCGGATACACCGGGAGGACGACGGAGAGGTGTGACGGACAAGGAAGAGAGAGGGAGAATGAGAAATGAAGGATGCATGGTTTGTCGCAACGTGGGCCCCAAGACGTCCCGACCCATTGCCGAGGGACCGCGCTTCCATCCTGAGTCGTCGTTTGACGGTTCAGGGGCACGGCGAGGGCCACAAGACGCCGAAGACAGGAAAAAGCACCCGTCATCGCTCAACGGCGCGAAGGGGTCAGGGGAGGGAGCCAATCGTGGCCTCGCTGCGATCGCCAGGGCTGAGCTCCGGCGGCCACAGGTCCAGCCTCTCCAGCGTCTGAGTCAGGCCGTCCTGGTGCGAAAGGAAACTCCAAGAGGAGAGAAGCAGAGGCACGCCCTCCACCCTCTCCAAGTGCCTCTCGCCCCATCTATCCCTCCTCCTCTTCCTCGTCGTCGTCATCCCCCTCGTTCTCCTCATCATTGTCTTCCTCATCCACCCCACCCCGCTCTCTCCTCCTTTCCTCGCTCCCTCCACCTCTCTCCCTCTCTCCCTCCCTCACCCCCTCCCTGCCCTGCTTCCTGCCCCCCGCTCCCTCCACAATCTGCACCCCTCCTCCTCCTCCTCCTCCTCCCTCCTCCTCCTCCTCCCTCCTCCTCCTCCTCCTCCTCCTCTACAATTACACAGTATGCCATGTTCTGTTCTACGTTGCTCTGCGATGCCATTGATTGCGTTGCAACGCTTTGTGATGCCAGTCTTTACTACGCAACGCCACGCCATGCTATGACATACGACGCTCTGCCGTGCTCTTCTACGCCCTGCTACGCGTTGCTCTACGATGCATTGCGCACCCTCCTGGCATCATTGCCCTGCTCGACGGCCGATTGTGCGAATAGAGAAGAGGTCTACGCCATGGTAAGGGATGGGAGGGGTAGGACGTCAGATATGACGCGAGTGCACCTAGCTTGTTCTCCTCTTCCTCCTTCTGCTCCTCCTCCTCCATCCCTTTCCCTCATAGATTACCCCGGCGGTAGGAACCCACATGATCATATGTTGAATATTTTCATTGACTGGGGATCTCCTCCTGCCCTCGCCTTTTCATCCTCCTCCTTTTCCCTCTCCCTCTCCCTCCTCCTCCTCCTCCTCCGCCTCCTCCTCCTCCCCCTCCTCCTCCTCCTCCTCCTTCTCCTCCTCCTCCTCCGCCTCCTCCATCCTCCTCCCCCTCTTCCGCCTCCTCCTCCTCCTGCCTCCTCAATTGGCCTCCTGTCTCCTCCTGAGGCCTCCTGGGGCCTCTTGGGGCCTCCTGGAGCCTTTTGGGCCTCCCTGGACCTCCTGGGGCCTCCTGGGGCATTCCTCCTCCACTCCTTCTCCTTATAGGCAGCTCCTCCCTGTCGCACCCCGAGGCTCATTCTTAGGGTGGGGCCGGGCGTTTCGCCTGAGACTTCCTCACCACTTATGACTCTGAAGCTTAAAACGTGACAGCAGTTTCACAGATGGAGGGCGGGTGGTTTCCAAACTGTGGCTCTCGACTTAGCGCCGCTCGCAGTCGTTTTCAAAATTTGCAAGAGCTTCACGGATTGAGGGCGGGCCGGTTTCAAAATGTGGCTCTCGCCGTAGCGCCGCGCACATCCATGTCAAACATTCACAAAAGCTTCACGGATTGAGGGCGGGCCGTTTTCAAAATGTGGCTCTCGCTTTAGCGCCGCGCACATTCAATTCAAAAAAATCCAAAACAAGTGTCACGAATTGAGGGCGGTGCCTTTTCAAGATATGGTTCTCGCCTTAGCGCCGCGCGCATTCGTCTTCAAAACGTGCAATCGGATTGAAAGGCGGGTGGTTTTCAAAATGTGACTCTCGCCTTAGCGACGCGCGCATTCGCTTCAAACAGTTGCAGAAGTTTCACGGATTGAGGTCGGTGCCTTTCCAACATGTGGTTCTCGCCTTAGCGCCGCGCAAATTCATGTCACACATTTGCAAGAGTTTCACGGATTGAAGGCGGGTCATTTTCAAAATGTGGCTCTCGCCTCAGCGCTGCGCACAGTCGTCTGACAAATTGCAAGAGTTCCACTGACTCCCATGATCAACGAACAACCATTTGTTCTTTGGAAGGATTCATGACTATGCGGGTACAACAGTTATGTCGATTCGCGGTGCTGAAGTCAAACAATATTTATGGTACGATTCCCGATCGCCAGAACGCAGCAGTCAGGTTGATACGTGGCGTTGAAATCCCGAGAACAACGCTGTGCTTCAGGATCTTCAAACGGTTGTCTTCCAACATGGCAGTTCCCTCAATGGAAATGAACCGTTGTAGGGGCCTACGACGAGGGAGCTTGGAGGGAGGGTTAATTCCAACATCGTTGATGACTCCTGGGTTTGCACTGGTCCTCCTCCTCCTCCTCCTCCTCCTCTTCTTCCTCCTCCTCCTCCTCCTCCTCCTCCTCCTCCTCCTGCCTCTTCCTTTGGCCTCCTGCCTCCTCCTGGGGCCTCCTGGGGCCTCTTGGGGCCTCCTGGAGCCTTCTGGGCCTCCCAGGACCTCCTGGGGCCTCCTAGGGCATTTCTCCTCCAACTCCTCCTCCTCCTCCTCCTCCTCCTCCTCCTCTTCCTTCTCCTCCTCCGCCTCCTCCTCCTCCTCCTCCTCCTCCTTCGCTTCATCGTGCGGAACACGACCTAGAGGAAACGCACGACGTGCGTCCCAGCGGCTACGCGCTGGAGGACGACCCCGAGGAAACGCGCGCCGGATGACGACCCGGAGAAAACACGTGAGGCGCGGGCCCCGCAAGGAGGGGGCTCCCACCTGAGACGTCCTCGCAATTCACTCACAGACGAGGCTCCCGCCTTATACTTCCCTCATATTCAAACCTCAGGGGCCCAAAAGTGACGACAGTTAAAAGAGGCCGATGATCCGTCTGATATTAAAAACATGAGCTGCGGGCCGCACAGTGAGGTGGCTCCCATTAGAGACCTCCTCGGACTTCACTCACAAACGAGGCTCCCGCCTGCTACTTCCTCCATATTCAAGCCCCAGGAGCCCAAAAGTGACGACGGTTACAAGAGGCCGATGAACCGTCTCATATTAAAAACAAGAGCTACGGGCCCAACAAGGAGGGGGCTCCCGCCTGAGACTTCCTCACAATGCACTCACAAACGAAACTCCCGCCTGATACCTTCTTCCAAATTTACACCTCAGGGGCCCAAAAACGAGGACAGGAGGCCGATGACCCGCTCAGATTAAAAAAACATCAGCTGCGGGCCCCACAATGAGGGCTCCCGCCTGAGACTACTTCCTCGCAGTTCACTCACAGACGAGGCTCCCGCCTGATACTTCCTCCACATTCGAGCCTCAGGGGCCCAAAAATTAGGACAGGAGGCCGATGACCCGCTCAGATAAAAAAGTCAGCTGCGGGCCCGGTAAGGAGGGACCTCCCGCCTGAGACTTCCTCGCAATTCACTCACGCACGAATCTCATCTCCCGCTCAATGCTTCCTCATATTGAAGCCTCAGGAGCTCAAACGCGACGACAATCACAAGAGGCCGATGACCCGCCTCATATTGAAATCGTGAGCTGCGGGCCCCGTAAGGAGAAGGCTCCCGCCTGAGACTTCCTCGCAATTCACTCAGAGACGTGGCTCCCGCCGGATACTTCCTCCAAATTCAGGCCTCAGGAGCGAAACGTGACGACAATCACAAGAGGCCGATGACCCGCCTCAGATTAAAAACATGAGCTGCGGGCCCAATAGGGAGGGGGCTCCCGCCTGAGACATCCTCGCAATTCACTCACAGACGATACTCCCGCCTGATACTTCCTCCATATTCAAGCCTCAGGGGCCCAAATGTGACGACAGGAGGCCGATGACCCGCTCAGATTAAAAACATCAGCTGCGGGCCTCATTGAAGGGGGCTCCCGCATGAGACTACTTCCTCGCAGTTCACTCAAAGACGAGACTCCCGCCCGAGACGACACACAGGCGAGTGATGATCATGATGGCGTGAGTGATGATGATGATGATGATGATGATGATGATGATGATGATGATGATGATGATGATGATGATGATGATGATGATGATGATGATGATGATGTTGGTGATAATGATTGAGATGATGGTGAGGCCAGTGAGTGAGTGTGTGAAGGGAGGGGAAGCTGAAGGTGTTATGATGATGGTGCGTGAATGATTGGGCGAGTGAGCGTGCGAAGGCAAGAGAGAAAAAAGGGAGTGAGGCGACAGGACTGCGCGGGGTGTCCATGGAAAATGAATGAGAGCGGTCGGGTGAGTGTGATTGGGTGTGTAAGTGATGCTGTGTTGATGCTGTGATGACGATGTGAGTGTGTGAGTGTGTGTGAGAAGAGAGGGGGTGTTCCTTCCTTCCATCCTGCTCCTGCGCGAGGTGTCCAGAGAAACAAGACTCCCACTTTGGACGTGGGAAATACCCCCCCTGCCGTAACCCCAATCCGTTGGCTGGATCGGGCGTTTCGCCCGAAACCTCCTCCACAAGTATGACCCTGAAGCTTGAAATTAGCAACAGTTTCGATGAGGGAGAAGGGGGGTCAGATGTGAGTCTCGCCGTAGCGCCGAACACTTTCGTCAGAAAAGCTTGAAGCAATTTCAAGGATGGAGGCCCGCTCCGTTTTCAACATGTGGCGCTCACGCCTTCGCGCCGCGCACGTTCGGCTCCAAATACTACACTAGTTGTATAGATTCGTAGGGTTGACATCCCATGCACCGTGTTCTGGCAGGATTTAGGTTTGCCAGGATGCGACACTCCCGTGGATCCGCGGTCCTGCAATCCCATGCTATGGCACTGTTCAGGATCTTCAGGACGCAATGGTCACAGTGGTTCGCGGTCGCGGCGTTAGAGTCCCAATAATGATATGTAGTCATGATGTGGAAGTCAAACACCATGTTGAAAAAATGCGTTGTGCACAAACCCTGTCGAAATTACCATGTAAAGCTGGCGTGTTACCCAGACTCTCATGGGCTCGATGTTACTACTACTTCCGCTTCCTCCTTCTCCCTCCTCCTCCTCCAACTCACATGCTTTGTGGCCCCACCTAAACGCCCCGTCGCTAGGTTCGTATGCCTCCTTCACAACATTTCGGCACACCCCTCTCACGTTTCGTGACCCCATAGGGCACTCCTCCTGAGGCCCCAGCATTGGGCTCGCATGCCTTCTCCGAATCTTTTCGGCGCCAGGGCTCGCATGCCTTCTCCGCACAAGTTTGGACCACCCCTCACACCCTTGTGGCCCCATAAATAGCTCCACCTGAGGCCCGAGTTGAAGGAATCGCACGCGTGACACGCTCAGGTCGGTGCACCCTTCACACACTGCGTGGCCCCAAAGGGAACTCTACCTGCGGCCCCAGCTGCAGGAATCGCACGCGTGACCGCGCCTATTGTGGCACACCCCTCACACGCTTCGTGGCCCCATAGGGAGCTCCACCGAAAGCCCCGTTGCAGGACTCACATTCAAGGCCGCGACAATTTCGGCACACTCCTCACACGCTTCGTGGCCTCATAAGGAGCTCCACCAAAGGTCCCGCTGCTTGCTGCTCCACAAGGCTGGGCCGGCAGACGCGCAGATCAGCATTGACGAATCACATCCCGGTGTAACCCGTCACGGCCGACCTCTGCACCCCATCAGCAAACACGCTCCGTCATTCTCACGCACGCCTTTGTCCTTTTGCTAGCCCCCTCCCTGCATATCCCACCTATGTTGCTGCACTCGCAGCTGAACTCAGTTGGATCCTTCGCCGGACTAGTTGCCTCCCTTTTTCCATGAGTCTTGTAGGGACCTATGCAGAGGGTTCTTGGAGGAAGGGCTTGCTGCAATGATGTTACTGCGTCTTGGGTTTTACACTGTTCCTCCTCGTCCTCCTCCTCCTTCTCCTGCTCCTGTTCCTCCTCCTCCTCCCGCACCCGCTCTCTCCCCATCCGTCTCCCCCTCCTCCTGCTCCTCCTCTTCCTGCTCCCCCTGCTCCTCCTGCTCCTCCTGCATGGGCGCACAGCACAAACAGACTCCGCCTTTCCTGCCCTCCCTCAGATCCGACATCGCGAACAAAATACAACCAGCGCGAAATACAGTCGGACTCGATTGGACAGGGCACGCGAGAGGACACAAGACCCTTCCGAGGGCCGCACTGCCACAGGAATGCAGGAAGCATGGGTCGCGAGACCCAGGACACGAGGGTACCCCTGATTTGGCAGGGTCGACCTGCTAATCCGGGCCGGCTGTAACACCACTGGAGCCCTGCAGACCTCACCTTTCTGCTGAATTTCTCGCGCCTGGTCGATCTGGGATGGCCCGTGGGCCCGACGAACTGGGCGCACACGCCTGGCGTTCGAACAGACAAGCAGAACGCCGGGGTCTCAGCGCCCTCGCCTCTCCCACCCAAGACATCTGTTCCAATCTTTGCCGATGCGTGGACCCCCGGAGGTCTGGACCACTTCCCCATGCAAATGTGTCGTCCCGGATATCTTTTGACCGCTCCGGGAACGTCGACTTCCCCCGCAGGCTGAACATAGTCAAAAAGTATCCGCTCTAATTTTTGTCGGAGCCTCGAATCTCTGGGACTGGCGGTCCTCGTCCAGCCCGGCGTCCACGGCGACGTCGGCGGTGCAGCGGCAATGCAGCGGCGACGATGCATCGGCGATGCAGCGGCGACGTCGGCGGTGTAGCGACGACGTCCGCGTGGAGAAGATTGGGCTCCACGCCGCGACAAATCGGCGATGTATCGGCGATACAGCGAGATTCCCCCACCCCATCTGCTCCGACCTCATCTGGGAGGCCTAGACTCTCCCACTGGCGGTCCTCGTCCAGTCGGCTACACGCAAGAATGACCCTAGGCAAGAGTGATCTTTGGTGCGTGGGTGAGCGGGGGATGCGGGGTGGCCGAACCAAGGCGCGCCAGCCGCTGCTACCGCTTCGTGTTCAACGATTGGTGAACCTTTTAGACCCGCACCTAAGGTCACTCCGGCGCAAGGTCATCCTTAATTACTGGAGGGGGAAAAGCGGTATTAACACAAACTGTCAACGGTCCGCGCAGATTTCTGGGATCTGCGCTGAACCCCCCCTCCCTGGCGCGCGGAGAGCGCCAAGGACGGCGCCGGAGGCGCCGCCAGGAGGGACCAGGCGCAGACAAGAAATCCGAGCGGAGCGCTAAAAACTTATATATATATATATATATATATATATGTTGATGCCGTTGTGTCTTCAACCTATACGTCAAATCGACGCTGGCGGTCCTCGTCCAGCCCGGTGTCCGCTGGCGCATCCTCCCAGCCCCTGGGGCCGGCGTAGGACTGCAGCCGGCTGCCGGCCGGCGACACGGCCCGCCCATCTCCGCCTCGGCGCACGGCGGGAGCACCGCGGCGCCTCCTTCTTCTCCTCCTCCTCCTCCTCCTCCTCCTCCTCCACACGTCGTCGTCGTCGTCGTCGTCGTCGTCGTCGTCGTCGTCGTCGTCGTCGTCGTCGTCGCCGCCGTAGCCGTCGCCGTCGTCGTCGTCGCTGCCGTAGCCGTCGTCGCCGTCGTCGTCGTCGTCGTCGCCGTCATCGTCGTCGTCGTCGCCGTAGCCGTCGTCGCCGCCGCAGCCGTCGTCGTCGTCGTCGTCGTCGTCGTCGTCGTCGTCGTCGCCGTCGTCGTCCTCGTCGTAGCCGTCGTCGCCGTCGTCGCCGAGGGCGCGGGCTTCGCCGGTTACGCCGGCGCGGGCGGCACGGGGGCCAGCCCGTGCCGCAGACACTGCGAGCCAGAGTCGCAAAGATCCGAGGCGCCCCAAAGAATTGGAGCGGCCGATTTGGGGCCATTCGGGCAGGTGGTTAATGGAGCATGACGGTTAATAAATGACCGGGGGTCGTGTTCACGCGGCGGCGCCCGGGATGACGATTAGAAAAAACCGGCCGCGGGCTGAAAAACTATTCTTTTAATCGTTCTCCTCCAGTCAGAAAATTGTGCAGAAATAACAGAAAACTATGTTTTTAATCGTTCCCTTTCATTTTTTATTAATCGTCATCCCGCATTATTGGGGGTGACCTACATGCCGGGTGAAGAACAAGGCCCTGAAGGGGCGTTTTCGGGTCCCTACGGGGCCGTTTAGGGCCATTTTCTTCAGTCACCCCCCAGTTCCACCCGCCCGAATCCTTTTGGCCTCTGGGGCCCCTCGACGGGCCCCAGGACCACAACAAAAACAACGCAAGAGGATAAAACAGCTCCGGGGAAATGGTCCAGATCTTCGGGGGTCCTCGCATCAAACAAATAGAGCGCTGGATGTCTGGGTTCGGGAGTCTCGCACGGAGTGGCTTGCAGGGAGTTGCCATAGTTGGTGCTCGTGTGAATTAGTCTGCGCGCTGGATGCCATACTTGCGCGTGGATGCAATTGTAAGAATATATATATATATATATATATACATATGTGTGTATGTATGTATGTATGTATGTATGTATGTATGTATGTATGTATGTATGTATGTATGTATGTATGTATGTATGTATGTATATATATATATATATATATATATATATATATTCACCCGCACTAATTGTCGCCCGTGCAACAGTTCGCGCCCCCCGAGCCAGCTGTGGACTAGTGTTCGCAATTATACAAAACGAATTCACGATTGCATATGTCGCCTCCGACCCATCTGCGCCAGACCCACTACTACTCCAGCTTGGAGGCGCTGCGGCGGACGACCCTGCTGGAAAAACTCTGAGATCTGGGCGGTCGGAATTTTTGTCCTAACCATCCTGTGGTGTGTGTGGTCCTCGTTTTGAAGAGACGTCCCCCGCGTTCCCTCCTTCCTCCCTCCCTCCCTCCTCCCCCCTCCTTCCCTCCCTGCGTTTCTCTCACGCAGTACGGCGTTTCGTGGCCCCATAGGGAGCTCCACCGAACCCCCCACTGGGACCGCCCGCATGCGCCCCGGAAGCCCAATTTAGCATGTCCACCCACGCGGTATAGCGTTTCGTGGCCCCGTAGAGAGCTCCACCGGAGCCCCCAGTGGGACCGCCCGAATGCGCCCCGAAAGCCCAATTTCATATTTTCACCCACCCAATACCCAATACAGCGGTTCGGGGCCCCATAGGGAGCCCCACCGAAGCCAGTGGGACCGCCTGCACGCGCTCCACACGCCCAAGTGGCATTTTCACCCACGCAGTACGGCGGTTCGTGGCCCCATAGGGAGCTCCACCGAAGCCCCCAGTGGGACCGCCCGCATGCGTCCCAGAAACCCAATTTGGCATTTTCACCCGCGCAGTACAGCGTTTCGCGGCCCCATTGTGAGCTCCACCGAAGCCCCCAGTGGGACCGCCCGCATGCGTCCCGGAAACCCAAATGTGGCATTGTCACCAATCCAATACAACGCTTCGTGGGCCCATAGGGGGCTCCACCGAAGCCGACTGTGGGACTGCCCGCACGCGTCCCGGAAACCAATTTGGCACATCCCTCATACGTTTCGTGGCCCCATAGAAAGCTCCACCGAAGCCACCAGTGGGACCGCGCGCATGCGTTCCACACGCCAAATTTTGCATTCTCGACCACTCAGTAAAACGCTTCGTGGCCCCATAGGGAGCTCCACCGACGGCCCCATTGCTACCGCCCGCACGCGCTCCTCCCCACCCAGTGCAACCCTTCGTGGTCCCATAGGGAGCTTCACCGATACCACAATTGCGGTACCCACAGTTGCAGTACCCACAACTGCATGTGGTTGGGTCCTTCGCCAAGATAATTCACACCTGGCGTTTTCGCCCGATGTCGGGCTGCCCTGGAAACGACATGGCCGTTGTTTACCAGCTCCGTTTTTTAATGTTTGTTGCCGGTTCTGGTGCCGCTGTTTTCCTGGCTCCGTCGCAGGTTGTTTTCCGGTTCTGTCTCTGTTTCTGGTTAATCCTGGAAAGTTATTCCCGTGTTCGAGGCAATCTAACAAATTGTCAGATTCTGTGAAATCTGCTTGGCTAGGGGCCCAGCCATCTGCAGTTGTGAGCACCGCAGTTGTGGATATCGTCTTCAGAGGCTCTCCCTATGTGGCCACGAAGCGCTGTACGCGGCGGGGGGACGCATGCCATTATTGCACTGGACGCGGTGAAGCTCCCTATGGGCCACGACTCGCTGTGCTGTACCTGGTGGGGGAGACGCATGCGAACTTTGACACTGGGGCCTTCGATGGAGCTCCCTTTGTGGCCACGAAGCGCTGCTCTGGGCGGGGGAGACGCGTGCGAACTTTGCCACTGACGCCTTCGGTGAAGCTCCCACTGGACCACGAAACGCTGTGCTGTACCAGGTGGGGGAGACGCATGCGAACTTTGCCACAAGGGCCTTCGGTGGAGCTCCCTATAGGCCACGGAACGCTGCACTGCGTGGGAGAGTCGCATGCGAACTTTGCCACTGGGGCCTTCAGTGCAGCTCCCCATGGGGCCACGAAGCGCTGTACTGCGTGGGGGAGACGCATGTGAAAAGTTCCACTGGGGCCTTCGGTGGAACTCCACATGGGCTACGAAACGGTGTGCGGGGGAGGGGGGGGCGCATGTGAACAGTTCCGCTGAGGCCTTCGGTGGAGCTCCCTGTGGGGCCACAAAGCGCTGCAGTGGGTGGTGGGGACTCATGCGGGCGGTAGCGCTGTAACCTTCGATGGAGCTCCCTGTGAAGCCACGAAGCGCTGTACTGGGTGGGGGACGCATGCAGGCGGTAGCACCCGTCGATGAAGCTCCTTATGGTGCCACGGACCGCTGAAATGGGTGGGTGGGACGCATGCAGGCGGTGCCAGTGGCACCGTCGGTGCAGCTCCCTACGGGGCCACGAAGCGCTGTACTGAGGGGGGGGATCGCATGCGGGCCGTGGCGTTGGGACATTCGGTGGAGCTTCCTATGGAGTCACGAAGCGCTGCCAGGGTGGGGGGGACACATGCGGCCGTAGCACCCGGGCCGTCTATGGAGCTCCCCATGGGGCCACGAAGCGCTGTACTGGGCGGGGGGACGCATGCAGGCGGTAGCACTGTGGCTGTCGGTGGAGCTCCCTATAGGGCCACGAAGCGCAGTAATGGGTGCGGTGGGCGCCTGCGGGCAGCAGCATCGGGGCCGTGGGTGGAGCTCCTTTTGGGGCCACGAAACGCTGTACTGGTTGGGGGGGGCGCTTGCGGGCGGTAGCACCAGGACCTTCGGTGAAGCTCCCGGTGGGGCCGCGAAGCGCTGCACTGGGTGGGGGGACACATGCGAGCGGTGGCACTGGGGCCTTCGGTGGAACTCCCTATGAGGCCACAAAGCGTGTGAGGGGTGTACCGACATGGTCGACTGATGCGGAGAGCAGAAGGAGGGATGGGAAGAGGGAGGGGGGCAGCGGGGAAGAGAAGATGATGCGGGGCGCTGTCTCTGCAAAACGAAGACCCAACACCACAGGATGGTTGGATAAAATTCGCCCCGGCCCAACGGGCCAGGGCGTGCTAAGATCTCCGGTAACTGGTTAACAGTATTAACAGTATTTCTAGTTCGCGCGCGCGGGGCGGCCCCTGGGGGTCCCCCGGCGAAAAGTACCCCGACCAACGCCCGGTCGCCGCCCGACCGCCGCCCGACCGCCGCCCGACCAAGTCTACTCAGAGATGGTTTTCCTTCTGGGTGCGGCCTCTCAGGCTCCCCAGAGCGCGCTCAGAGTGCCCCAAGAGGCCCCCAAGACTGCCCAAGAGGCCCCCGAGACGCCCAAAGAGCGCTCGAAGACGCCGAAGATGACCCCAAGACGGCCCAAAAGGCCCCCAAGACAGCCCAAGAGGCCTCCAAGACGCCCCAAGAGCCTTCCAAGAGGCCTCCGAAGAGAGCCCCAAGAGGCCAAAATCGTTGATTTTCATTTGTTTTTTCGATGTTTTTTGTGTTCTGGCTTTTTCGGCTTCCGGACGCTCCAAGACGGCCCAAGAGGCCCCCAAGACCGCTCCAAGACGGCCCACGAAGCTCCCAAGACGGCGCCGAAACGACCCAAGAGAGCCCTCAAGACGGCCCAAGTGCCGCCCAAGACGGACCAAGAGGCCCCAAGACGGGCCCAAGAGGGACTCAGGAGGGATACCGAGAACTCAAAAATGGAGCCCTCCGTCCCAGAAGGCGCCCAGGAGGTCCCAAAGAGGCCCCAAGAGGCCTCCAAGAGGCCCCAAGATGTCGCCAAGAGGCCCCAGGAGACTCCCAGGAGGCCCAAAAGAAGCCCCAGAAGGCTTCAAACATGTCTCCCAGGCGCCCCCGAACGGCCTCTCAACAGACCCCAAGAGGCCCCCCAAAGAAGCATCTTGACGACGACTCTATTTCGCCCCATCGAGAGACGACCCCCAGGGAACTGCTTCACCATCAAAACTCCCCACGCAACGCGTCCGAACGAC